GCTCCGCGCCGCGCCGCGCGCCGCCGCCTGCAAACGAAGCCGGCCGGCCGGAGCTGCCCATGGAGAAAGTGCCGGGCGAGATGGAGATCGAGCGCAGGGAGCGGAGCGAGGAGCTGTCCGAGGCGGAGAGGAAGGCGGTGCAGGCTACGTGGGCCCGGCTCTATGCCAACTGCGAGGACGTGGGGGTGGCCATCCTGGTGAGGTAGGTGTCGCCCGGGCCCCCGACCCGGAGGGAGGACAGCGGCCACTCGGGCAGGGGGGCTCTGCCTGGGTCCCGGCGCGCGTGCCACCCCCAGCTGCTGTTGGGGTCAGAGGGGGCAGCGCCCGGGGTGGGTGAAGCCTAGCTCAGTCTTCCGGGTCTGGGCAAGGGGCTCCCCAAGAACGGGCTCGGAACTCCACGACTTCCTCAGCACTGACCTCGCCAACAGCCACGCTTCACCCGCCCGCGGTAGGCACAGCCCTGCAAACAGGATCAGGACAGCTCCCGGTTTAAGAGAAGAAACTGAGGCTCAAGGGGGGCACAGAGGGCGCAGACCCCTCGCCCCAGCTCGGCCAGGGTCCTACCCACAGTGGTTTTCCGTAAGAAGAGCAGAGAATAGAGGTCAGAGGACTGGGTCTCGGGCTCCAGTTTTTCCAGCTGGCCCTTCTTGCCCTAGGGAGCCGGCGGGCGCAGAGCGGCCTCGCAGACACTCTGCTGACTTTGCTGGAGGGCGAGGGGGAGGTTCAGGCGCTGAGCCCCACGGAGACTGAGATGCCCCGCCGCCCGCAAGGGCTGTGTGCCTTGGGCTGGGGGTGTTCCAGCACCCCATGTCCCGAGGGCCCAGCCAGAGCAGAGTGGCCGCACACACCTGCGCCCTGTGCACCCCACTCCCCGACAGCAGCGTCCAGCGGGAGCCGCCCGCTGGCTGGAGCTTCCGACGTGGGTGCTATCTCCCACACGTCAGTCCCTGGGGTGCAGGCAGAGAGGCCCGGACCCCCGTCCTCGGCAGAGAGAAGCAGTCGAGTCTGGGACAGAGCAGGGCAGCTGTCGTATTTGAAGATGGGGCGAAACCTCGCTCCTGCACAGCCCGAGTGCACCCCGCAAGCCGAGGCTCCCCCTTCTCCCCCACACTTTCTCCCTCTGCCTCCTCTGAGCTGGGACCTGCCCAACTCAGATTGATATGCCGTGATTCCAACTCAGGAACAGATTTCAGAGGAAAAAGAGCAAGAAACACTTTTGAGGAGTTAGCGGAGGCTCTTGGAGGAGGGAGGCGGCTCCCTGGCCCAGAGGCACAGCTGGGGGTGGCGGGAGCTAAGCAGGGCTTTCAGATCAGAGCCGTCAAACACCGGGAGACGCCCCGTGTGGGGCGCCCACTCGCACTGGGGCAGTGGAGTCACGCTGCTCCGGGCTGCCCCCGGCCGCCCTCAGCATGGGTCGCACCCGCCACCAGGCGCCCGGTCAGGGAAGGGAGGCCCAGGGCGCAGGCCTGGGAGAATGTCTGTCCCCACCTCTGACTGGCCAGGGAGCACACAGAAAATGGGCCCAAGCTCCTGCCCCAAGGCAGCGTCCCGGGAGGGGGCAACTGGGGAGTGGACATCGGAGCAGAGCCGTTTCCGGTCAGCCTGGGCTCTTGGCAAGACTGCCTCTCCGGCCCTCTCGTCCGATTCCTGATTCTAGAGGGGCTGGGCTGGGCTGGGCTGGGTGGTCACCGAGAGAGACGCCCACAGTGAATCCGGGGAGGCCCGAGGAGGTGCTGGTTCTGGTCTGCCGAGGCCCCAGCACACCTCCCCAGACCCCCGGTGCCGGCAGGAGCCCAGCCCAGCACGGGCAGCCTGGCCCAGTCCTGGCTCGGGGCCCGTGGCCAGCCCAAGTCCCCAGTCCCGCCGGCTTTCCTGGCCATTTCCCCCTACTTCTACTGTCTGCTCCAGGGCTGCGGGGGTGCAGGAGGGCTGAGGGGGGATCCCCTTGGTGGGTGAGTGGCCAGGACCCGGACTGTCGGCAAGAGGAGACGGAGAGGAAGGGAGCCCGGGGGGGGGGGGGAGGGTGCACCAGAGACAGAGTGGGGAGCAGAACAGGCAGATCAACGAAGTACACTGCTGAGGGGGCCGGGGGGGGGGGGGGCAGGACCATTAGTAGGTGTCCCAGATGCCCGCAGGCCCCCCTAGGTCCCCACAACCCTGAGACCACGGCACACATCCTTCGGGACAAATCTGATTCCAGCCAGGGACACCAGGCCCTGACCCCCCCGCCCCCCCCACCCTCTCACCTTCACCTTCACCTGCCTGGCCCCCACCCCGGGAGTTCACAGCCAGGGTGGTAAGAGCAGCCTGCTGGGGAGGGGGGCCAAGGGGAACACCCAGGCTGGAGGGAGGCTCCCTCCCTGCCGGAACTCCAACGCCTTCCCTCACACTCAGACAGGCCTATTTCAGGCTCCCCTGGAAGCCCAGATGCCTCTGGGCGTGAGGACTCCCCAAGGCTGCGGAGGCTGCTGCCCAGCACAGGCCCTGTGGAGGGCAGGAGTCAGGGGGCCCAGACCCTGGCCCAGCGGGGGGCCTCGCCCCAGGGACTGTCCTTCGTGGGAGCTGGGGCAGGAGGCTCATCTGGGTCCCAGCCCACCCCGTTCCCCACCCCGAAAAGTAGGTTCAGGGGCGCTGGAAGCTGCCCGGCAGGCCCACTGGGGCCAGTACCCGCAGCTCTCCTCTAGACAGTGGGGATGCAGCCGCCTGGGCCAGGCCAGGGGCGGGCGAGTGGGCCCAGGGAGCGCTCCCGCCCGGCCTTGTGGGCGAGCTCCCGGTCAGGCGCGGGCCAGGCACCGGGGCCCAGGCAGGGCAGGCAGTGGGATCACCGCCTTCCCGGTGCGCTGCTCCGACCGACCGGGGCTGCCGGCCGAGCCCAGCCGGCTTGCTCACGTCTGTCTGCCTGGAAGTGCTTCTCCAGAAAATCCCAGTGTGTTTTCGGACTCTGCTCATTCGTCTGCTCCTGCATACCTGTGAAGTTGGGGGAGAGGGGTCCTTGCACTTTCGCAGACAGGGACCTGTGCAGGGGTTCGCCCCAGGCCGGAGGGGCTTCCCGGGGCCTCTCTCGGTCCCCTGGCAGCCAGGTCCGCGCCCCCACCCCCAGCCGCAGCTTCCTCACCTGCAGGCTCGCCTGGAACAGATGTTCCTTCTGCATCCGCCCCACGTCCGGAATCCTGGGCTCGCCCGGCCCCGGCCCCGGCCCAGGGCTGGCCCATCTTTGGCTCTCTTACATGGAGAGGGGTACCCCAGAGGTGGGCACAGCTCAGCACGTCTGAGCCTGTACACGTCGGTCACAGCTGACGGCCGCCGCGCACACACCGCATGTGATGTCCAGCCTGGCTGCGAGGGAGCAGCCACGGTGGTCAGTGTGACCCCGCAGACGCGGTCCTGGGCTAGGAGCGGGTCAGGGGCCAGTGAGCAGCCTCTGGCCCCAGGGGTCGCAGCCAGAGGGCAGACAGGGGGCAGTGAAGGTGGCAGGCAGCCGGCTTCGGCACAGCGGGGCCCGGGCGCGGCAGGGCTGGCCAGGCGCGGAGGCTCCCCTGGCCCAGAGGGAAGGCCGCAGGCCAGCAGAAGGAAGCCGGTGGGCTGGGCCGGAGATGGCAGGAACATGGGGGCCGACACAGGGAAGACTGTGGCCCCAGGGGAAGCAGCTGACTGCTGAGAGACACCAGGGAGCCACTGAGTGTTGTTGAGCATGGCAGCGGCTATTGCTCAGTGCCGGTGCCGGTGCCGGTGCCGCTTGGAGGAAGGAGGCTGGAGACGGGACCTGCCCCCTGCTGGGCCAGACAGCAGCCGGGAGAGGTGGCTCCAGGACCCCGGGCCTGGCTGTCTCTAACTGGACCAGCCGGACAACCTCGCTGCAGAGTGAGGAGGGCGGGACAGGCCGGCAGAGGGCGGACGGCCCGAGGGGACCGAGGCGCGGGTCCCTCCACGGCTCAGTGGCCAGGCCTGCATGTTTGCAGGACGCTGGCTGGGTCACGATGGACACTGGCCGCAGAAGCAGCGCCCGCCCCCAGCACAGCCTGCGGCGCTGAGACTCACAGCAGTTTCGTATTTCATCTTTGCAAACAAGCACAGGCAGCAGCTGGGGCCACTGAGGTCCAGTGGCGGGGGCGCGGGGCTTGGGGGAGAGGCAGGAGGCAGAGAAGGCCGAGGCTGGGGTCACAGAGCTGCCAGCCCAGCGGCTGGGCAGACTGGTGGGGGTGCCCCGAAGCAGCGGGGCCAGAGGGACAGCCAGCCGGGCTGAGAGCAGCACTGCCTGAGGGGTGCGCCCGCCTCTCGGTGTCTGGGCCCTTTGGGGTGCAGCCCTAGACGCCCGCTTCAGCGCCCCCTCTCCCGCAGGTTCTTCGTGAACTTCCCGTCTGCCAAGCAGTACTTCAGCCAGTTCAAGCACATGGAGGAGCCCCTGGAAATGGAGAGGAGCCCCCAGCTGCGGAAGCATGCCTGCAGGGTCATGGGCGCCCTCAACACGGTGGTGGAGAATCTGCACGACCCCGAGAAGGTCTCCTCTGTGCTGGCGCTGGTGGGCAAGGCCCACGCCCTCAAGCACAAGGTGGAGCCCGTGTACTTCAAGGTGTGTCATCACCTGGGGTGCGCCCCCGCCCACCACTGCTCCCCGGAGCCCCCAGGACCCACTTGCTACAGCAGCCACCTGCAGCAGCCTGTGCCTCTGGGAGGCCCCAGGCCGCAGAGGGGACCTGGGCCTGGCCTGACGGGGAGGGCGCGAGGAGGGCTGGGACCCACGGTATCCAAGCCCCAAAGTGGAGGGCTGCTGTGTCCCCAGGCCTCTGGGTAGGAGGGGTGCTGGGGGCTGCTGGGGCAAGGTGCCCGGTGTTTACTCCCCGCCTCCCGTCACCCCCAGATCCTCTCCGGGGTCATTCTGGAGGTGATCGCTGAGGAATGTGCCAGCGACTTCCCGCCTGAGACGCAGAGAGCCTGGGCCAAGCTGCGCGGCCTCATCTACAGCCACGTGACCGCGGCCTACAAGGAAGTGGGCTGGGTACAGCAGGTCCCCAACGCCGCCACGTGAGGAGGGCAGAGGGAGCCGGGCAGCCCGCCGTCCTCCCCGACCCCCTCCCTCGCTCTGTCGGGCTGGGCGGAGCCCAGGGGGCCGGGGGGACACCGAGGGGCGGCGTGTGGGGCTTAGGGATGGCACCACCAGAAGGGGTCTCCAGCCAGGGCCCCTGTTGCTTTCTGAGTGGCACCCAGCGCTCCTCACCCCAAGACAGCTCCCAGGCAGAGCTGGTCCCGCTCGGGGCAGCCCTGGGCAAGCCCAGCCGCTCCCGCCGCGTGCCAACCACGTGGATGATTTTTCCTCCCTCCTGCCTTCGGCCTCCCCTGGGACCGGGGCCAGGGTCCCCTGAGGACAAGGACACTTGCCCGGGTGGAGGGGGACCCCACGGGGCTGCCTGCTCCCCGCCGCCCCAGCAGCTGGGGCTGTTTGCGCTGGCTGACCCCAGAAGCTGGGGTCCAGGTTCTGGGCGGAGGTCTCCAGGGACGACTCGAGGAGGGTGGTCAGCGCCGTGACCACGGCCGACGCGGGCGGGGCTGCCCAGGGGTGGCGGCTGGGAACACGCTGGCCTCGTGGGCCCCGAGCTTGGCTCCGGGAGCTCGTGGAGGGCGGAGGCCGGCTGGAGGAGGAAGGCCAGAGAGCGGCGGAGGCGGGAAGGGAGCGGGGTCAGCCAGCGGCCTGGACACGCGCTGTGGGAAACATCCCGGCAGTTTCCCATGGAGAGGGCGGCGGCTCTCCCTGGACGCCGAGCTGGCCGCGGCGGGCCTCCTGCTCGCAGGCTTCCCGGCCCCGCTCTGCGGAGGGCCCACAGCGGCCTTGGGAGGCCAGGCCTGACCTTCCGCCCGGGCCCCTCCCCCGCGTGGACGCCACCCAGAGAACAGAGCGAGTCCTGGGGAGGCTGCGGGGGCGGCCACTCCAGATGCGCACAGCTGGCCCTGCCTGCCCCGGCCAGCCGGCGGATGGGGGCGGCAGGAGACTGCCATGGCCCGCCTGGGCTGGCAGCGCCCACGGCTGCGGGACGCCCCAGGGAGGTGGGCGGGAGGGGAGGGCTTGCCCTTCCACGCCTCCCCCGGAAGCTCTGCTGCCAGCGATGAGCCCTGCGCGGCAGGAGCCAGACCTGCCCTCCGCAGAAGGGGGCGAGGGGGGCAGGGGAGCGGGTCTGTGCCAGCCCGTGAATCATACACCCTGGGGCGGCATTTCCCGACACCGGGCCCCGTCCCTTCCCCACTCTTGCCCCAACGGGGCCCTGGGGACTTCCATCTGGCCAAAGCTCAAACACAACCGCGGGCGGGCACATCTGCTCCTGTGGGCGCGGAGCGGGGTACCCAGGGCCAAGACCCTGCCCCCCGCCCCGCCTGTGGGCGCCTCCAGCTGTGCAGCCTGGGGCTCGTCCCCTCTCGCCTCTGCGCTGCCTCCCCCCACTTCCCAAGACCGGGGTGGCCCCCCAGAAGGCCCATCTCCTGGGCCAGGGCCTGCAGACACAGCCGCCTGCCAGATGGGCTCGAGAGCAGGAGGCCTCGAGCAGTTCTAGAAGCTTCCTTCCAAGTCCTCTTATCAGAGAAGCGCAGTGGGCCAGGCGCCGCAGTTGACGGAGTGTCTGCTTCAGGGCGTGCGCGCATTTTTGTGGGTGGGGGCGTGGGATTGTTGGAGAGCATGGGGAGCATCCAAGGGGCCGAGTGCCTGTGGGTGCTCAGAGGCGCCCCCCAGAGCAGGCTCGAGCCTCAGGAGTCCCCAGCTGGTGGAGCTCACGGCTGACTGGCCCTCACAGTTGATCCAGAAAGACCAGCAGGCAGCTGACTCTCCCAAGGCCCCCCGCGGTTTCCTCCCAGAAGGGGACAGAACCAGCCCAGTGGGCTGCCCACCACGGCCATCCGCAGGCTCCGAGAGGCCCCCCGCCGTGACCCCCAGCCCCACCCCTCTGCCCCCCGGGGCCCCCACCCCTCGTAACCGGTCCTGTCCTCTCCTGTCGTCCACAGCCCGCCGGCCACGCTGCCTTCTTCGGGGCCGTAGGACCCCCTTTCTCCTCCCCCACCCCTGGCACCTTGAGCAGAAGGCCGAATTCTGAAGACTCCATCCGGGTGCCCAGGACGCTGGAGGAAGCCCCGACTCGTCTGCTGAGAAAGCGGGGGCCCCGCTGCGGCCACAGCCCTGGGGAGCCCCGCTGGATGCTGTCTCGCTGGGCGGCCTGGGTGGGGGCCCTTCCTCCCTGAAGGGCCGGGGCCACTCTTCTTAGCTTTTCTACTCACTGTTAGAGACCTAGCTGAGCGGCTGAGGACGGCGGCGTGGGGTCCGGCAGCAATCAGCCCGCCCTGTTTGCAGCTGCCGGCCAGCATGCGGGCCCGCACCACCCTCTAGAGTTCCCCGCACTTAGGTACTTACAGGTATATCCTCTCTGCGGCCTCTATACAAACACATGTATTCCAGACGCATCTGTAACGTGTATCTGCGGGGCCAGGAGGCCTCTGGGGGAGGGGCAGGGAGGGTCCTGGTCACGCTCCGGCAGACCACACAATGTTCTGGCAGGCGGGGACCCACGTCTGCAGAGGGGACCCGGGTCTCCGTGGCAGGGTTGGGGTGGCCCTGCTTGTCGGCAGCCAGCCCGCTCTCCGAACAGCTCCTCACACCCTTGCTTCCCACTTCCGGGCCAAAGGACTTGGCAGCCCTCGCCTCTGCCCCCCACAGAGGCTGTGGCTCCCCGACTTGCCTGAAGTGGGCGAGGGCAGGCGGGAGCCCGGAGTTCCGGATGGGATGACTAGCGGGGCCCGGACACAAACCCCGTCTGCAGCTGAGACAGCCCAGGTGGGTGGGGGCCCAGCTCCCCCCAGGGCCGTCTCCTCCTGGGGGTCCCTCCTGGGGGTCCCTCCTGGGGGTCTGAGGACCGAGCCCCTCCTAGGCCCTCCCAGCTGTGGGTGACGGTCGGTTGGTCGGTCCTGGCCATCGCCTGGCTCAGCATTTCGGGGGGCCCCTCCCCCGCGTGCACCTTGGTCACGTGTGTCGCCCCCAGGGTGTGTTGCTGCTGTGGTTGCTGTGCCGTGTCCCGTCCTGTCCCCTCCGTGCCGCTGTCCGTGACCGCCTGTCCCCCGCTGTAGTTTCTGGTGTCTGTGGCCAGACCATTAAACAAACTTGTCCCCTGCGTCTGCGTGCTCTCCCCGCCCCGCCGCGTCTCCCCAGCTCGGGCCCCCGGGGGGGTCTCTGCCGGGGCAGGCCCTGGCCCCTCGGCCGGGTCTGTTAAGGAGCACAGGGCAGACTAGAAGCTGGACGTGGGGCATGGCGGGAAGGGTGTCTGCTTAGGGAGACACAGAGAGGCTTTTTATGTTCTGGAGACCAGCAGGGGCAGGGCCAATGAGCGACCTGCCCCGAGCAGCGGGCAGGCAGGAGCCCGCTGCCCAGTTGAAATCCAGAAGCTTTTCATCTTTTGTTCTGAGCTCTCCTCCCAGGCCAGGTTAGGGCAAGTAGCAGCAATCAAGGGACTGACTTTCAGGGAGAGTCCCCGCTGGCTGGGAACTCGAGGGAGTGTGGGCTGGACTTCAGCCCCGGGCACCCCGACAGCTGAGTGCCCGGGAGGTGGCTCTTCATACCCGCCAGCCTGTGACCCTCAGGGACCCTGGCTCCCAGCCCCCTCTGAGCTCCCACCCCCAGTCCCAGCCCTGGCTGAGACTGCCCCGCCCCCACCCTGCATGGAGACAGCAGCCTGCAGCATCAACTCCCCAGGAGGGACCAGGAGGTCACCACCCCCAGTGGGCTGCAGGAGAAGCAGGAAGCAGCCTCGGCCCCCCGGGAGGGCTCCGGGCTGCCTGGGAAGATTCGGCTGACTTGCAGGGCAAGTCTGGTCTCCTAGACCGTGAACTTGAACACAGGCCGCGTCTTCATCTCCTGGGCCTGTACAGCAGTCACTCAGCAGACATCCAGAGAACAGATCAACCCCACTCTTGGAAAGCAGAGCCAAGAGGGGCCGTGGGGGGCTTCGGAGCAGAGGACAGGGCGGGCCAGGCCCTCCCGGGGAGGCAGCGCTCAGGGCAGCCGGCTCCAGAGGGGCCGTCTGCTGGTGCTGTGTGACCTCGGGCAGGTCACGCAGCCTCTCTGAGCCGAGGCCACCTTTTATTTAAAATAGGAGTAAACGTGAGGCTGGCAGCAGGTCCGTTCCGGGGAGGCAGGCCACAGCAGTGGCACGTGGGGACCCGCTGGACAGGCTGCCCGGCAGAAGAAGGGGGGGCGGGGGAGGGAGTGGCAGAGGCGCCTGGGCCAGGAAGGAAAGAGAAAGGGAAACCTGGAGGCAGACGGCAGAAGAGGGAGGCGGATGCAGCCAGGTGGGGGCCCTGGCACCCCGGAGGCCCCTGAGGCCAGGAGCCAGAGGGGCAGGCGGGGCTGGCTTGTGGGGGCTGGGAGAGGAGAGGGCACCGGTGGCAGGCAGGCGGGGAGCACTGGAAGGCCACACCCCGCCTTCACTCGCTGGCTGCTGAGAGGGGTGAAGGAACTATGTGGGAGCTGGCCAAAATTGGGGTTGACCTAGAACGTGGCCCTTGAGAAACTCCCCACCCCGAGACAGAGAACACGGCATTCAGAGGTCCGCCCCAGGTCTGGGTGAGGGATACTGCCTGGGTGGGGAGCAGGGGGTGCGGTCCCACCCACTGGGGACACTCGGCGGCCCCGGCCCCGTGGGCTGTAAGCTGGTGCCGGAGGTCGGGGGGTTTGTTCTGTTCCCAAAACAAAGAAGAGCCTTGTGGCCAGAGGAGATGAGCAACCGGGTCAGCCCCCCTGGCGTTCCCACGGGGCGACGGGGTCAGGAATGTGGGGAGCGTGGGGAGCCTTCCCGGCAGGGCGGCCCGGCCGCGCGGCCCTCAGCGCCCCCTGCTGGCAGCAGCGGACACCTCGCCCCGCCCCGCGCCACCTGCCTCCTCCCCGGGAGGTAGCGCCCCGGGAAACTGTGCCCCTAACGTGATTTTAGACCATTTCCCCCTCCTCTGTTAAATGCTCCTGGGGGACACAGCATCACAGAGGTCAGGCAGCAAGCAGTAGTCTCTTCGTTTCACTTTTTAATGTTTTGGTCCATCGTGGATGTTTTTATTTTAATAAAATGTCATGTTTAACACCACTTCCCTTGGTTACTGCCCCCTTGAATGCTGTATCCCAGGCAAGTGCCCCGCTGACCTCACCGTAGCCCCAACTCAAAAAGACGCATCATTTAAAAAAAATTATTTACGTAGGCATGCAAGCACCAGGGCACAGGCCAAAGGTGTGGGGAGGGGTGACAGGACACCCCTGAGACAGAGTGGGGGGCAGAACAGGCGGATCGACTGAGACACACTGCTGGGGGAGCAGTGGGGGCAGGAGGGGCCTGCTGCGTCCTGGGGGTCTCCGGCAGCTGGATAGCGCTGTGCCCCCCAACAGTCATTCTCCACCTCAGGAAACCATCCACACCTGCCAGGTGATGGGCTTCCTGGGGCTTTATCGCGAGACCAGTTTGGGTTTTGGCAGCCCTGCAGGGTGGGAGACTTTGGGTCCCAAGTGTTCGGTGGCAGGCAGACCCCCCTCACCCCCAGACTGACAAGGGGGACCGAATGCTCAGGTCATGCTTAGAAATCAGGACGTCAGGCTCTGGGGATCCTGAGAAACCATATAGAACAGCCACGCTGGAAGGGGGGCCCGGGTGCTGCTGCCTGGGGCCTGGACATTGGAGGGGGCAGCTGCACCCCACGGCAGCGGCTCCTCAGCCTGGCGCCGCCCTCCGCTCCGCCCACGCCTGTGTGACAGCTGCCAGGGTCCTTCCGTTGCCACACGGTTACCGCCCTGGTGAGGGGCCGCCCTGGTGAGGGGCCACCCTGGTGAGGGGCCACCCTGTCCCCTGCCGGGACCTTGCCCTATAGCACCCCAACGAACCCCAGGCTTGGGAGGAAGCAGCAGACTCAGGACTGAAGTTGGTCTGACACGACTTCTTGGTAGAGTGGCTGTGGGGGTGAAATTGGGGAGACGCGAGGAAGCCCCCAAGATGTCTCGGCAAGTGGGTGGGAATCTCAGGAAGGAACAGGCTTGGCCCCTGGACTATGGAGTCCACATTGTCCAGGGGAACAAGGCGTCCAGAGGTGTCTGGGTGCTGCCCCCAGGTCCAGGGATGCCGGCTTGTCACCGGGGCCTGAAGCACAAGGCTGTTAGAGACGGCGCCCCTGGAGGGGGGCTGGAGGGGGGCTGGAGGGGGCAGAGAGAGCCAAGTACAGTGGGTGGGGACTGGCAGGAATACAGGGCACAGGAGTGCCCCACGCACTCAGCCCTGGGGTTCCAGCCTTCCCAGGCCTTCAGTGACCCCAGGTCCGTCCCTGCCTCCCAGGCCGGCTGCCGGGCCTCCGCGGGGCGAGGGGCCTCAGCAGCGGCTCGGACGAGAGTTCACAGGCTCCACAGGAGACCGAGACCCACTCGGTGCGGGTTCAGCCGGGTTGGGCGCAGGTTCGGCTCTGGGCAGCGGCGGGGCCGGGGGGAGGGGGAGGCCTGGGAGACCCACAGCAGGGCTGAGCTGCAAGTGGCCCCGTCAGCGTCCAGCGGCAGCTGCTGTCTGCAGTGTCCCTGTGCTGTGCTGGGGTGTCCGGCGGCTCCGGAGCGTCTCCCGTGGCGGCTCCTGCTGCCCGAGGGGGACCCGGCCGTGGCCTGGCCGCTGCCTGGCCGCCGTGGCGGGAAGGCCGCAGCGGGGAGGCTTTGCGTTGGGCACAGCTGGGTGAGGGAGACGGTCATTTGTGGCCTTGGCGGCTGTTGGGCTCCTGGTTTGTTTAAAAAAACAAACAAACAAACAAAAAAACCCTGTTATTGCTGTCCACTGAAGCTGGGTGGTCCTGCAACAGCGGTCAAGGGCGCTGGACCGGCACTCCTCGGCCAGCAGACGTTGGGCGCTTCTCGGCCAGTTCTGGCGCCCCCTGCCCGGTGTCAGGAGATGGCTAGCCGGAGTGTGGGAAGCAGCAGCCCGCCTGGGCCCCAGCCCGTGACCCTGAGATCAGGCTGATGGAGCCGGGGGGAGCTGTGAGGGGAACTTCCCAGAGGCCTGGCCAGCTGGGCCCACAGCGGCAGTGTCCAGAGCTGTGAGGACAGAGAAGCAGAGGGGGGAGGAGGGGTGTCCAGCTGGGGCCGGCCTGCAGGAGGGGAAGGTGCCTGGGGGGGGAGTGGGGGGCAGAGTCTGCTGAGGAAATCTCCAGGAGAGGGGTGGCCTCAGGGGACTTGCGGGGCGGGGGAGGGAACCTGGGGCCCTTCTCCATGAAGAGTGACTCAAGGTCATTACCTGAGAGCTGTGGGCGGGGTGCAGGGGGCTGAGGAGAGGAGACCCTGAGACCGTCTCAGGACAGGGAGAAGCGACTCTGGCGGGGAAAGGGAAGATGGGGAGAGCAGGTGGGACCCCCGGAGGTGACCCGGGTCCTGCTAGGGCCTAAACACGTTTCCTACTAAATCGAGACCCTTCTCTGTGTTGGCGTCAGCGAGACTCCTGTGCTCGCAGGAAACCTCCCTGGGAAAAGGAAGTTTGAGGTCACCCAGGGACGATCACAGCTGACTCGGTGGCGACACCTGGCTACAGACTTGCCTCTTCTTCCTTTTTTATGTTGCCCCAGTCGCCTGCCATGATCAGACACTCCTTGTGCAGCTAGAAAGCCGCTGTTTTTAGACAGCGTATTAAATGTAAGTGTTTAAGGCATAAGAAAGGGCCCAGGAGGTCAGGTGAGGGGGTAGAAGACCGGCAGCTTCTTTTTTAAATTTCTGAATCCCAGTTACAACTTTTTCTTTTTTAAAATCAGCTGTTGGACTCTCTTTTTCTTTTTTTAAGATTTATTTTTTTGTGCATACAGAACTGGGGTACAGGCCAGAGGCTCAGGAGTGGCGAGAGGCTTCACCAGAGACAGAGTGGGGAGCAGAACAGGCAGAACAACGAAGTCCACTGCTGAGGGGAGCAGCGGGCGGTCAGGAGAGGTCTGCTACGCCATGTGGTCACCTCCAGGGCAGGGGGGGATCGAACTCACGCGGAAGTGGCTTTAGCTTCTCAGTGCTGCGCTTTAACCCGCTGAGCCACCAGGCAGGGCCACAACTTTTATTTTTGCATAACAAGATTGAGGTTCCTCTCAGGGGGGTTTGATCATTTGCTACAGAGGCACTCAGAGCTCAGAGAAACATTGTTCTTACTTTGTATTTGTTATAAAGGACATTTTAAAGGCTACAGCTGAACAGCCAGATCTGGGGGCGATGGAAGGTTGACCCCTGGCTTTGCTGTGGTACCAAATGAACGGCCACTCCCCACCCGCAGCTGCCCACGACTCTAACGCGGGGGACCATGGTCTGCTGGTCTAAGAAGCAGGGAGAAGGTATTATCCAATGGACTGAAAAGAAACCTTTCCCTCCGTCTGCGGTCGTTTTTGATATGTGCTGCTTTTATTTCCTGTTAAATGAAATGCGTTAATGTCATTTCCTTCCAAGCACAACGCTAAATGGCTTGCAGGGGTTTTACTGGTGGTCTTCGCAGAGTGCACGCCAGCTTGCACAGGCTGAGCGAAGAGCGCTGGTGCAGCTCACCGGCCCCAGCGTCCTGCTCACAGCGTGGTCTTTTGTGGGGTGTGTGTGTCACACCCTGGGTCCTTCCCACGGGAACAGCAACAGGTTGCTCTGAACGATGCAACTGGCTTTATTTCTCTTCTCTTTTTTCTTTTAAAGATGTATTTATTTACACTTAGAAGAACTGGGGTGTAGGCCAGAGGTGTGGATGTGTGTGAGAGAGGACACCCCAGAGACAGTGGGGAACAGAACAGACGGATCTACTGGAACCCCCTGCTGAGGGGGCAGCGGGGAGACAGGGGAGGTCTGCCGCGCCCTGGGGTCCCCCCTGGCCGGGGATGAACTCCTGCTGCAGGGGCTGCGGACGGCTTCACAGTGCTGAGACCCAACCCCTGTGCCACGGGGAGCCCCTTTCTCTTTTTGTTTATTATTTCTATGGATTCATTCATCTACTGAAAGAGATTCGGGCCGCCTCAGAGTCCCAGCTATTGTCAGAAACACCTCTGCGAATATTGTGGAAGAGATGGGGTTTTGTCGATGCCCAGTTTTACCTGTTATCTTTATACCGAGTGGAGCCAGCTCTCAAACGCCAGCAGAAGAGCGCTTCCGGGCTCCCATGCGGAAGCACCCCACTCGCCCCACGGCATAACTGGGCCTCTTTGTTCACTCTGAGATGTGGCTCCTGGGTCAGCTGCAGCTGCCGGAACACTTTGCTCGCTTGACCTTTGTCCGAGCGCCTTTTGTGGAGCAGAACTTTGCAGCTTTTATGTTATCAACCTGTTGATCTTTTCTGCTTTATGGTTCCAGGTGGGGCTCCCAGGGAGGCCTCGCCAGGCGAAATGCCTGATGTCCGCCGCCAACGCTGGCGAGCAGGGTACCCTGAGTATTTGCCGTGTAAGTCAGCGTCCCAGGGTGGGTGAGAGGCACAGGCAGTGATGTGGGGTCTGCGGGCAAGCCAGGTGGATGAGTGGGGGTGACATGGGCTCAGGATTACAAGGTCCTCTTCCAAGGGCCAGTGGGATAACCAAGTCTTGGCCAAGACCAGGGTGACCGGGAGGAGGTCTGATAAAGGGTGAGAACAGAATGTGCAAGATTTCAAGGCTGCTGTGGGGGAGGGCAGGGCCTCAGGAGGAGACTGAACTGAGAAGTATCCCTGCCCCCCAGGAGGCTGACCATGTCAGTCTGGACTCTGGACACCCAATTCCCCAGGGTGCCTTAGGTTTTTGGCACATGAGCCCCAAGACTCAGCTCCTGGCCTTCCAGCCTCAGCCTTCCCGGCGTGTCTGGTGAGCCGGCAGGTGTCTGGTGAGCAGGCGGCTTCGCGCGTTCCCTGGCGCAGTACCACTGGTGGACACAAGGTGGCGGTGCTGCATCGCCCGTACCTACCGCCCCAGTCCAAGGAGCTGTTTATTCACCGGGTCTTGGGAGACCCCTCTAAGGTCCTCTACCCAAACCCTCTTCCCTGACTGCACCCTCCACAACCTAAGTGATGGGAGGTAACTCCAGAGCATAAGTGGAGAGGATATCTACCGTCCTGTGTTGGCCAAAAGAGGGGGTGCTCCATCTTCTCCCCGAGTCAGGCTGTCCTATGCACAGCCAGGCCCTCCCGAAGTTGGTGAGGGCTGCCAGGAGTGCCAGAAGAGCCCCCAGGGCTGCTCCCCCCCACCCCGACTGTGTGGCTTTGACAGTCCTCAACTTCTCTGAGCCTTGACGAGAAAGGCAGCATCCCTTTGACCAGAGCGTCATCTGGGCAACTGCGTGCTACAAACATTTAGATCTCGGTTAGCAGAGTAGGCCAGTGCTGTTCTCCCTTGGGCAGACACAGGGCCAGCTTTCTGAGTTTGCTGACTTGACTTTCCGGTTTCTTTGCCCCTTGCTCCAAAGGTCATGACTGAGTGTCACAAGGAAGTCTCAGAATTGCTCAGACGTGAAAGAAACTTCTGATGTGTTGAGGAACTGGTTGGTGGTGATCCCCGTCCCGCCTTCCTGCAAAGCAGGCTTACACATGGACAGAAGTGTCCCATTTTAAAGCTACCAGCCAGCATGTGGTCTGTTATTCACCACAGCCTGTTTCCTCTGTAAGCCTGGCCCTGCCTGCCTTGCAGGACGGCTGTGGAGATTAAAAACATAGTCAAAGAGGGCTGGGGCCTCCCTGGTGGCACAGGGTTTAAGAAGCGGCCCTTGGACCTGTCCGCAGCCCCTGCAGCACGAGTTCCATCCCCGCCAGGGAGACCCCCAGGGCGCAGCAGACCGCTCCTGTCTCCCCGCTGCTCCCCACAGCAGTGGGTTTCAGTCAGTCTGCCTGTTCTGCTCCCCACTCTGTCTCTGGTGAATCCTCTCACCTCCACTTCTCTGGCCTGTACCCCAGCTCTTAGGCGCATAAATAAATAAATCTTAAAAAAAAATCAGTAGCAAAAGAGCAGATTACAATTTCCCAGTTTGAACAAGTCCTGATTGCTTACAGGATAAAATACGAACACCTCATCTGGGCCCATCAGTGTCTCCCACCTCCACTGCCCTGTAGGCCTGTCACCCACACAGGACAGGAGCTTCCGACACCACAAGTTCCTGGCGCCTGGGCCTTCAGTTTTCTTCATCCCCCCGAGGACTCCCTCAGCCTTCCTACCTGCTAAGACCCTCCAACACCTTGAGAACCATCTTAAACAAAGGCCATTGGTTTCTGTCAGTTACATGTGATGCTGCCCATGGCGGGAAGAAGGCCAGGTCTGGGGCAGCTCCATAAAGCCGCTGCCCGGAAGCTCGGGGCTCTACTGCGTGTGTGGGTGTGCTCTCTAAATGCAGGTGAATGCAATTGTGCTTCGCTTGCACCTGGCTCTCTGAGTGCGTCTTGGGTGGTTTCCATGCCGGACAGCCTGGCTCCCTGCTTTGCACAGCGGATGACATCACCAAATTATACCCCTGGCCTGGTGAACACCTTCGCCCCGGGGGGGGGGGCTGTGCCAGGGCAGTGATAAGCACCCCCCACCCCCTGATGGGCAGAGTGCCATGTCTCTGTGGGACAAACCCCTCGCAAGACCTCCACTTCCACCCTACCCGGCCTCCTACAGTCTTCCCTGCCCTCGGGGGCAATGACGCGATCGGGTGCCCGAGTCTGCCAGTGTAGCGGGGCGTGGCAGGGCTGGACACCAGCTGCTCGGCCCACAGGCTCATGGCCCATGCAGAGAGGGCAGTGCAGCCGCTTCCGGAGTGGCCCAGAGCTGCTGTTCCAGCTCCCTGGGACTGGCCCCAAGGCTCTTCCACCCCAGGCCGGCACCTCTGGGGCACTGTCTCCCAGTGGGGTCTTGCTCTGCTTTGTGGCCTGGGAAGGTGCGTGCACAGTACCGGCTCTGCCCTTGCCTCTGGGGAGCGGCCCTCAGACTTGGGCCCCCACCCCAGAAGCCTCCCTCTGCATAATGTCCTGCAGAAGCCCGCCCCCTCTTTCCAGTCCTTAACCACCTACCCCCCTTCTGGACAGAGAAACATGGGGGTGCTCTGGAGCCCTGGAGGGGTCTTGAGTCTGGTCCCCACCACCCCGGCCTGAAGCCCAGCCAGACCTCCCCAAGAGGGATGGCAAGATGACAGTCACCAGGGCTGAAAAAGGAGCATCTGGACATTGGGGTTCCAGCCGGGGTCCGCTGGTGCCCTCCACTGGGGCTGCCACTCCCAGGACAGTGGGGTGAGCCCTCATCCTGCCTATGGGAGTGGGGGGTTCACGAATCTGCCCTCATAGGGCAGATGTGGCAGAGACCCCACCCTGACACCAGCTGTCAATGGAGGGGTCACTGCCCCCCACCTCCAGCCCAGGGGCGGGGAGCAGGGCTGGGGAGATGCTGCTGCCGCGGGGTGAAAGCCCGAACGCCCAGGCTCTCCTGCTGAAGGCGAGTAAGGCTGCTCAAAGTTAAGGAGGCCACGGGAGATATCATCTCTCGATAATATTGACGAGAGCTGCCGCTCACCAGTAACAGCAGCGCCAGGGGCTGCGAAGAGCGCCGGCAGCCCTGCGGATAACCACAGCCGCTGGCAGGTGCTTTCGGGGCGTCCCCAGCACCGCGGGGGTGGGGTGCCCGAGGGGCCCTGCTCTAGGAGCGCCAGCCCGCCGTGGCCAGCGGTCCCCGAGGCCCACCCGGCCGTCCTCCAGCCACCCCCCACTCCTCCCTCCGCGTGCGCTGCCCCCGAAGGGTTCCATGCCGTCGGCCAGAGGCCGCGCAGGGTTTCCCTGGCTCTGCCCTAAAGGAGACACCCACACTGCCCAGCACAGCCCGGCGGGCGCCGGCTCTCCCAGGGGCACGCACTCCGCACGCGGGGGCGGTCGCTGTCCACTCCGGGCTTAGAGCCGGCGGCTGGGGGCGGGTAAGGCTGAGCGAGATCCGGCGGCCAGCCGGGAACGAGCCGGGTCCGGAGCCGAGGCGTCAGCGGCGGAGACCCGGGAAGACTTCCCGGAGGCGGCCGGGAACCGCGTTCAGAGTAGTCGAGGAAAGGGTGAGTTGGACGCTCACGGGAACGCGCCCATTTGCCCGAGAATGCGGGCGCTGGAGGGAGGGGGGGAGGGGAGCCCTCGGGGGCGGGGGCGGGAGGGCGGCACTTCAGACCTACACTGCGCGCCTTGTCCTGGGAGGAGAGAGGAAGCCGGGAGAGAGAGGCGGCTCCGGAAGAGACCAGGTCGGGCGGAAAAGAGGGTAGTGCCCAGCGGGAACCACCCAACCCCAAGAACGGAAAGTGGAGGGGCGGCGGGATCCCACCCGGGCGCGGAGGACGC